TTGAGATGTGTGTATATGTGATGGCTCTTTATATGTGGTTGCGGAGAGACTACATATTAATGATTGATTGCATACTTCAAGTCAGTCATTGTGATAGCTCTTTATATGATCTTTTTTGTTTCGTGCACTGTAATGTATGATGCGTGACATATGTGACTAGTTATAGGTTAAACTCCATGCCTTGCCATTTATTCTCAGCCACCATCTGGTCTTCTCGACAATCTACATAGGTAGACTATACCATACAGATAGAATTATTAAGGGTTTCATGCTGATCAGTTTATGCTGACACTTGGTAACAATGTTTTCTTGTGGCACAATGATTACTATTCCGATACCTTGATTTGTGGTGCTTTGCTTTTTTATGTATGTCCAAATTTTCTTGTTCTATTGTTTCTCACTGTGTTAATAGGAGTTACTGTAATAGATGCTATATTAAAGCTTATATTTTTGAAAGGTAAACATAGTAAACTTGCACATTAAGTACAGTTTCCTGAGGCTTTCTGGTATTGGTACTACCATAATCGCTATATTGATGCTAGTAAACTAATTTTACCATATTAGGATCTTAGGAATTTATCTCCTAGTAATTTGTATTAATTTGCTGTCCATGAATCATCTTGTTTTTCTCTCTCTGCACTACTAGGCTTTTTTTTCAATTTGACTACTAGGCTATTTAGTACTCTCTCCGTTCTAAAATAGATGACTCAACTTTGTACTAAAGTTAGTATAAAGTTGAGTCATCTATTTTGGAACGGAGGGACTAGTTACAGTACATTCTGCTAGTTGCTGAAAAAGGCTTCCGCCCCACTTTATATATAAAGCAATGATCAAACACGGCCAGGTACAAACGCACGCTAGTCCGTCCGAGGAAGGATTAGGTTTTCACCCCGGCCAACACTCACCGTCACCGAACGCCACACCCGGCGACCACGTTGCCCACACGGACATGGCCACCGGGCAGCACCAAACCGCGAGCTCTGCCCATGAGCACCACGGTACCACCCCTAGGGTCGCCGCCCCAGAATCCAAGACCTTCATACCACCTCACCCAAGACTTGGCGCTACCCCAACCAAAGACACGAGCGGAAATGACTCGCCTTTCGCATCCCTGGGCGGCCCCAGTGCCGTGACCCAACAAGCCGGCCAAAATTGGCCTCCATTGACCCGTCCTGCTGCACCGGGTGCGAGACGAGCTCGGTCCTGCCGCCGGGCGCGAGATGAGCATAGTGCTGCTGCCGGGCGCGAGACAAGCTCGGTCCTGCTGCCGGGCACAAGATAAGGTCAGTCCTGCTACTGGGGGTGAGACGAGCTCGATCCTGTAGCATGGGGCGCGAGACAAGCGATGGACCGCAACTGGGATCTGACCGACCCTTCGACGGAGTGAGCGCCTGGACGATGGGTGAAGGGGCCGAAGGCTGACACAGACCGCCTACAGACGGGCCGACGCCAAAAAAACCAGCCGCCGCCGCAACCGATCTGCCACCACCACAACACCAGCGTGTCCACGCCCTGGCTAGATCCGCCCAGAGCCCCGCCACCCCGCCCGGAGCAACAGAGACACTAGCCGCATCACCACCACCTCATCAAGGCCGGCGGCCACCGCTGCCAACACCAACCCTCACCATCCACCGGATCTGGGCAGGGAATCCCAGATCCTCAGCCCCCGCCACCCACCACCATCCAGAACAGGGCAGGGGGCTAGATCCGCCACCAACCCGCACCGGAGCCCCGAGCTGCGGCCGCGCCGGAGGGAGGGAAGGAGGCGGCGCCAGCGACCGAAGGACGCCGGGAGGGAGAGAAGGAGCCAAGGAAGGGCCGGCCCGACGCCCGGCGCCACCAGGCAGAGGGGAGCGCCCCGCGGAGCCCCCAACTGCGTGCAGGAGAGAGCCGCCTCGCCACCGCCAATGCTACACGGCCTTTGGCCGGCGACACCCCAAGCGGCGGCGAGGAAGGGGGTTGAGGCGTGGGGGGCGGAGGGGGCGGCGCTAGGGTTTCCTCCCGGGGGCGCCCGCGGGAGCGCCTCGAGGAGGCAGGGGAAGGTACTTTCATGCATTGAAGCATAGAGTTGTCATTAAGGGTCCTAGTTGTCACATCTCCTACAAATCTGATCCCGCATTTAGGTGTACATTCAGCTGTTATTTTGACTTGCTGTGTAATGCAACCTTGAAACGTTCCATTGCTGGTTGTGATTTGGTGATGATATATTCATATATTGCTCATCTGCATCAGTTGATCAACTGCAAACCTTAATGTCTCTTTTTAGGCCTTCTCTAGCTATAGTGAAAAATCCCTTGTTCTGGATGCTTATTTCTAAAGACATAATGCGCGACGTGTGAAGAGCAGTTTGCAATAAGAGTAATGCCATAGTTGTTGCAGTTTGATTTGCCATGTTGCATTCGAATTTATGGCGATTATTGCCGGCCAAGTTCTAAAAGTTGTTAAATTTTTGGATTTTTTACTTTGTTTCGAGAGTTTATTTGAATCTTGTTTTTTTCCTCAGAAAATAACGCCTCATTGCCAACTGTTATTCTTTTTTTTGAGCATCAGTACAGACACAAGCGCTCATACCGTAGGCGTCTCGTCGTCAACGGGCGCATCACCGGAAATTCTGAAATAAATCTAGAAATAATGCGAGCACCAGGATTTAAACCCTGGTGGATTGGGGATACCACTGTCCACTTAACCAACTCAACCACAGGTTGATTCGCGCCAACTGTTATACTTGGGCATCATAAAACCATACAGAGAATGAGTGAAGTGATGGGAGAGTCGCATGATGTCTTCTAACCTGTAGATTCGGTCCATAGTCAAGTGAAATACAAATAACTGAAAATTAAGAGAAACGAGACTTGGCTCAAGGAGTGCTAAATATTTTCAGATCATAGAAATAAGAGGGAAAATGGCGAACACAAATGAGAAAAAATACAAAACATAAAAGAAAAAAAGAAAACACATGTTGACATCACCTGACTTAGAATTATCAAAGTAGGCAGAGTTAGAGCGATCACTTGATTTTTCAGATCGTGTGCTTGCAGTGGACTGAGATCATAAAGTTAGGACGCCGCTAACTGCCACACGTGTGGCATATACGATATGCGCCCACATACCGTGTGTGGTGTGAGTAGGAGGCAGCCCACACGGGCTGTATGTGGGCGGACATTGGAATTGCCCACACGTGTGGGCGCGGCTACTTCGTGTCACACGCCCAACAAGTACTATTCATCTTCACCCCGTGCGTGTGGCACGAAGCAAAAAAATGCCCACACGTTCTGACGCAGCTACGTTAGGTACCCCGTGGGATGACTATTTAGTTGCCATCCTGGATGGCAGATGTAGTTATCCGGGATGGCAAGTGTAGTTGTAAAAGCATGGCAACTTTATCTGTTTTGGTTAATTATAGTTGCCATATCCAATTTATGGTAGTTCCGGCGTGTAATCAAACCGTAGTTGCCGTGTGTGATTAACTACTTGCCACATATGGTCAAAACAGTAGTTGCCATGTGTGTTTACCTAGCTGCCACGTGTGGTCCAACCATAGTTGACATGTATTGTTAATCACAATTGCCATGTGTGTTTATTTGGTTGCCACGTACGCGCAACTGTAGTTGCCGTGTAGAAAGAATCACAGTTGCCATGTGTGTGTACCGAGTTGCCACGTTCGCGTAACTGCAGTTGCCGTGTAGCAGAGAATCACAGTTGCCGTGTGTGTGTGCCGAGTTGCCACGTTCGCGTAACTGCCGTTGCCGTCCACAACATATGAGTGCCATGTGGGCGAAAAGCAGTTCGCCCACACGCGCATGACCTAGGTGATGGCTGTGTGGGCAGAAACTAGTTCGTCCACACAACGCAGCTGGCAAACAGCATGGTGCGGGCGTGTGGGCAAACTTTCCAACACCCACACACCAGCCCCATCCTACGTGGCACAAAAAATCAACCTTTTTGTGCCAACATTCGTGCAAAAGGCACTGGACGACGATCCAGGCATGTGGGCGAGTTGGGAAACGTCCACATGTGTAGGCGTTAGACTTTTCATAAAATTAAGTCATCTATTTTAGAACGGAGAGAGTAGGACCATAGTTAGAGTGTGACCCCCACCCCCAACATAACTTTAATACAGGTTAGAAAGACACAATGCCACTCTCAAAAATGGTGGGCGTTATTTTTAAAGGAAATGAAATTCAAATGAAACTATAGAAATCAAATAAAAATTCAAGAATTTAAGAACTTTCAGTAGTCCTATATCCCTTAGATATTACACGAAGATCCATGCAGATTTTAAATAAATTTTGCGCGGATCTCCGCATAAAGTTAGACAGATTTTGCATTGACTTAAGTTGACTAAGATTTAGCAAAATCGAAATGATACTTAGCTCAAGTAGTGCTAAAAAGTTTCAAATCATAAAAATAAGAGAAAATGACAGAAATAAATGAGAAAAAAGATGCTGGCGTCACTGGACTTAGACTCAACTAAGTCTAAGTCGACTGAGATCTAGGCCTGAGTTCAAGTGTAATCCACAACCATAATATTAATGTAGGTTAGAATATACGGTGTGATTTGCAAACTAGAAATTAGGCATTTTTTTAGAGGACAGAAAATTCAAATGAAACTATAGAAATGAAGTAACTTTTTTTTTCCATTTAGCAGCTTTTAGTAGTACTATATATAGATGAAATCTACATGGATCTGTGTGTAAACTCTGTCTTTTTTCAGATCATAAAATAATGTTTAAAGTACACAATCCTAATTCTTTTGGATTTTAGTGATATTAATAAGAGAGTTGAACAGAACAAATACTACTAAGTTTTTTAGGGGAGAAAACAAATACTAAGTTTTTTTAGGGTTAAACAAATACTAAGTGAGCAGCCATGGGCCCAGAATTTGGCCCAACTAAACGAACCAAGCGCTATATACAGTCACAGCCTAGTCTCCACTACACTAGTCGCTCGCCTCCGCTCGGAAACCCCACAAATCAGCGGGAAAACCCTCGCCGCCGACCATGGCCGGCCGTACGCCGTTCACCAACGTCGACCCGGAGACGGCGGCCTACTTGCGGCGCCTGGGCATCGACCCCCACGAGCTGGACCGAGCCACAGAGCAGCTGCTTACCTACATCTGCGTCGAGCTCCTCCCCGCCCCGCCCGTCTCCGACGCGCCCCCGCGCAGCATCTTCTCCCGCCTCCTCATCACGGAGGCCGCGCACGAACCCGCCCTCCCCGCCAGCGCCGACCTCATCAGCGTCCTCCCCGACACCCTCCTCCGCAACATCGTCTCCCGCCTCCCCATCGCGGACGCCGCGCGCACCGCCGTCCTAGCCTCGCGCTGGCGCCGGGTCTGGCTCTCCACGGAGCCCGTCCTCATCGACGCCTTCCTCCGGCCCAGCTCGTCGTCCGTCACGGCCGCCGTCTCGGGCATCCTCGAGTCGCACCCCGGGCCCTTCCGCCGCGTCCACCTAACCTGCAGCCACATGAGCGCGCACCAGGCCCAGCTCGCGCGCTGGCTCCAGCTCCTCGCCGCCAAGGGCGTCCACGACCTCGTCCTCGTCAATCGACCGTGGCCGTGCGATGTGCCCCTCCCTGACGCGCTGTTCAGCATCAGCTCCGTCGTCCGCCTCTACATCGGCCTCTGGAAGCTCCCGGACACGGCCGGCCTGCGTGGCGCTGGCGCCTCCTTCCCCCACCTCCGCGAGCTCGGCATCTGCACCGTCGCGATGGGGGAGGGCGACGTCGACTCCATGGTCGCCAGCAGCCCCGTCCTGGAGATCCTGAGCATCCAGGGAAGCCACAAGGGGCTGCGCCTCCGCATCGTGAGCCAGAGCCTACGGTGCGTGCAAATCTGCAGCTCTGTTGTGGAGAACGTCACGGTGGTGAAGGCTCCACGCCTCGAGCGGCTCATCCTGCAGGGAGGCCGGCACGCTGCTAGTGGCCTGTGTACCATGGTCAGCATTCTTGATGCCCCCAAGCTACATTCGTTTGGATTCTTGGAGCCAGGCAATCATGTCCTGGGGATCGGAGACACCGTCATAATGGTGAGTATCCATTTGTGCAGTTGTCACTGTGGGAGGTCCATGAGTTAAATGTGCCATCTTTGTTCTTAAATTGGGTGAATTTCAGGCTGGGATAAAGGAGAGTGCGGCCACCACTGTCGCAAGCGTTAAGATCCTGAGCTTAAATGTGCGTTTTGGAGTCCCCAATGAGGCAAGGATGGTGCCCATGTTCCTTAAATGCTTTCCCAATGTCGTGCGACTGCATATCATGGTAATTTCCACTAATTCAAGTTTTAATTTTACATGTTATTACTCCCACTAGTGTCAAAAACGCTCTTATATTGTGGGACGGAGGGAGTGCTTGTAAATGGTGTGTGTTCTGATTGAATGCATAGGCCTTTCAAGTCATTTATTCATCACAGTCAGTCAGTCAGCTCTTTATGGTGAATGCTGATAATTATGCAGTTCTACCACATGTTAAGGTGCCATTCATCGTCAGCGATCATGTCTTCTTTATATGTTGACTAGAGTACACAACTATAATTCCAGGGATTGCATGCTCATCTGCTTATGCTATGACATTTGGTAATAATTTTTTTTCTGGTGGCACAGTTTTTGTTTCTATTGCTTTGCTTCTTGAATTCTGGCATGTCCAGCTCTTTTTCTGGAACACAGCATCTAAATGTTCGTTTTCTTATTTCACACTGGTGCATTTGAGCTGTTGCAAGCTAGTAGCAACATAGCAATCCTGCTATGCTTATTTCACACTGATGACAGATACATATGGTAATCTTGCACATTGCTGTCTACAGTTTCTTAGTGGTCTGTATGATATAACATAATACCAAAGTTTTAAATCGCGGGCAATTCCATTTCGCGGCAGCTTGTCCGAAATGCTACAGCCGCTATTGCGGGCAATAGCGGCCGCTAAGCCATTTAGTGGCAGCTAGTACATGGACATTTTTAGCAGGAAAACAGGGTGTTTTCAGCAGGAAAACAGAGGATTGCAGTATATACTTAGACATAAACTGAAACAAGCATCACCAATTAAAAGTTACAAACAAGCATCACTAGTTCACAAACAAGGGAACCAAGAGCCTGCCATGTTCTGGATCCCAATGAAAACTTACATGCAACCGCGGGCCTCGCGGCAGATCGCGTAATTTTGGCCATAGCGTTGCGGGAAGCATCCCAGGCAGCGATTGCGCCGCAATAGCTGCACTTTCATGGGCGATTTTAATCTTTGCATAATACGTACTAGTTTGCATCAGCTCAGGAATGTATCTCCGATTTTTTAATATTGAAAGATTGCAGCCTCATTTCTTTTTTCTTTTCAGTTTGTCTAATTCACATCTAGATGTTTTTTAAGGATGTCACATCTAACCTCCCACAAGTATATAATGCATCAACAAGAAACAAAAAAAACTAGGACAAAAAAAATAGACCACAAACAGAGTGAAAATCAGTTTAGATGTGACATAACTATGTCACATCTAGATGTGTCCTAGACAGACCCATTCCCTCTAGATATTGCATGTAATACTTGTTCCTTCATGCGGCAGATTTTATCACTTGTAGATTATTTGTTCTGATTGATTTGCATAGACCTGTCAAGTCAATTACCATCAGAGCTCTTCACTTTCTATATTTTCTTCTGTTGTGGAAAGTGAATCCTGTATGTAGTTATTCAAGCAACACATGTTAAGGCTTTCTTCATTCACCAAATGTGCGCACCTCCCTCGGTTGCTCTCCAACTATTGACTGATTTGATCTCCCTTTGCAGTCCAGAAAATGTAATCGGTCCGCTGGTAAGCTCAGCCTCAATTTCCAGGAGGGTCCTACTGAAAGTGCCATGTTGCACATCAAAGAGATGCATTTCCGTGAATTCCGAGGGGAACAAGGCGAGGTTGCCTTCCTCAAGTCGATCTTCCCAAAGGTGCTGGAGACTGCGGTGATTATAATGGCCAACCCAAGCTTCACTCCATTTTCAGTAGCCGTGGCGTTCTCCGAACTGAAGGAGGCTTCTGAGGTCATAAGGTGCTGCCAAGTGCTGCTTCTTAAGAGTGCAGGGCCCGAAGGAGGCAAAGCATGGAGTTTTAAAGAAGGAAGTGATTTTTCATGCGAGGACCCTTTTTCAACAGTGGAGAGCAGCGTATTCACTCCGGAGCAGTCGAAGTTTATTGGATTTGATGAAAGTAGGAAACAGGCATGACATCTGCTTCAAAATGCCTGTGAGGAGTGGAAGATTTTTGGATGTGCTGAACTATGAATCATCCATGGTATCTGCTTCTTTTGGTAGCCGCCCCTGACTTTGGTGGCCTTACATCGCAAACTTTGCGTTAAATTTGTGGTCTGATTGATATCTGGTGGGAAACAGAAATACTATGAACTGGTATTTTGCTTGCTGTGTAATCTGTGCTATCAGTTTCCCTAAGTTTGCTCCTTCAAATGTTTGTTCCATCTGGCAGCATGTCACATTGCTTGCAGATTTGCATCTTCCCTTCCTGATTGATCTGAAAATTTTAGTTACCATCAGAGCACTCCATGGTCTTTGGCATGCACTGTAGTGATCACATATAATATCTTTGAATTGCATGACCGGATATCCTTGACCAACAATGGCTTAGAACACCACCCCCTTGCCATTTTTTTTCAGGCCTTTCACATATCTGAAAGAGCCTTTGTTGCTTTGCATGTAACTATCATCCAATTTATGGGTTGCATACTCGCGTGCTTATCTCTTTTAGCTTGTAGCATTAGGTCTGATGCATGATATTATGATGCCATATCGTTTGATCTATAAATTTACATTGCGTTGCTAGTTGTGTGTTCAAATTTTATTTGTACTGTTCTATTTGACCATTTGGAATATTTTCTTCATGTATAACCTCGGTAGTACTTAGTAGAGTTTGTTGTTCTGATAGAGTTTGAGTAGAATGAACTGCATGTATGACCTCGGTAAAACTTGATGCCATTTTGCATTGGCACAAACCTGTGATAAAAGCCGGCGCAACTGAAACCTGTGATAAAAGCCGGTGCAACCGTTTCCCACAAACAAGATGGTGTCATCAGCATACTACAGAAAAGTGGAGTAATTCTCAACTGGTTGTCACGGCTCACATTTGGCAAACCGTTCACATGTTTAAGACCTACATGGTTGACTGAAATCTGTTGCCTCACTTTCTAATTGGGAATGTTAAAAATCTAAGTTAGCAAGCATAACAAATCCTTGCTGGTTTAATGCATGGAAGTATTGATCTGTCAGTTCACGCACCGCGCTTGTGAAATGTCGGTGATAATTCACTGGGACAAGGAGGGGACAAGCATAAATAATTTACCAACCGTTTCAAATTTCAAAGCTGTACCAATAATAGGTACCATCACAAGGACCCCCCTGTGCTATATCTTTTACTTCAAAGCATGAAACTTACATCTTACCGCGAAACGCAAACAAGCAGGAGCATGGGAAACTTGCTACAGCATTTGCTGCAAGATACACAAGTTAAATCTTCACAAGAACATGACAAACAATATGCTGGTCGCATAGGCTACATTCTACTGTGAGCTTGACTTCAATGCTACATTATTACCAAAATCAACTACTCCAGATAAGAAGACACTATGATGAGATGAGATTGTCCTGATCAGTTCTTAGCTGTGAGAGCATTGTTCTCCTTGATCCGAGTCCGGTTGTCCAGCTTGACGAAACGCTTCTGGTCTTCATAGGGCAGCGTCTTGGCATCTTTCCTCCGAAGCTCGCTCAGCACCAGATGCTTGTCGATCATGTGCCACAGCCAGCCAGGGCACTCAGAGTCTGGTTGGATATTCGGGTCAGAACCCTCCTTCAGGATATTCACCCCAAACACACGTGTGCTCTTCATTTCTTTGCTGGGCACAGGTTTAGCATCAGCCGCGCCACCTTTTCCGTCCTTCTTTCCCTTGGCCACAACGGCAAAGCCTCTTGTCCCAACCAATTGAGTTGCGTCTCTTGGAATAACTCCACTCTTCAATACTCGTGTCCAGGACACTGCCATTCCTGGGTCGATATTTTAGCTGCACACATCAATCATCACAACTAAGAAGTGTTAACTCTGCTGAAAAAAGAATCAAGTGTCTACTGATATAACATTAGAAAACCACCAGTGCTGACAGAAAAAAGAAGGTTCAAAATCCGCAACGAATCAAGGCATTTGAACAGAAGGTCGTATAATTAGTACATAGATGTACAAGGAGTATGCTGACTCTGGAATATCAGATCTGGGGCCATGTTATGCAGCCTGCTTCTGCCACAAGGTCTTTATTTATATACTGTAATATGGGGAACTAAAGCTCGAAAGCTAACATGTTTCATTTAAGACTTGTAATTCTGCTTTCAAGATGTTTACTGCAATTCATTTCCAAATTCTTATGTTGTTCAACTGAATACATGAATTACACATGGTTAAAGATGATAATCAGATATAACCATCATCTAAAGGTTCTTGCAAAAGTAAAAACAAATAAAACAACATTTAGACCGGATCAGACCAAAGTCCTGAAGAACATCAACGCTATTTCCAGCATCAAGCCCCAACCAAAGCAAAATCTGAACTATAATAATCCCCGATTCCCCGCGTAAGGCCATAGTGCATGATTGGCAGTATGGCATCATTCACAAGATGTCAGGCAATGAACACCACAATATGATTAGCAAATTTGTCTAGGAGTTTAGCAAAACCATGAGAAAGGTGCAGACCAGAAACACCGGTCTGTTTCTTGTTGAAGCAAAATCAATTGGAACATCAGACACACCTTCCAGCATCAAGCATTAGCCGACCCAAAATCAGAACTGCATCCGCCTTTCGACCATTTATTTATTATGCACAATTCACAATAAGCTATATGCGGCACTACATGGTTAGCGAATTTAATTCACCGTTAAACCATGGGAGGGCTGCACCTGATAAGGGTTTTAGTCTCCTAAAAACTCATATATCACAGGATGAACAACTTTGGCAGGGGCGGCTGCAGATTTTTTTCCCACCTAGAGCAGTAGTTAGTCCAATCCTACGTGTAATGTAGATGTTAAAAATGCTAAACCCATAATTGTTTTTGGTCCAATAGATGGACCAACCACAAAGAAGCACAGTACAATCTGTGCCAACATTATACCAAGAGATGTACAATATATCTGAAATTACTAGTGTCAGCAAAATTACAACAGAGAAGTACAACCTGAAATTAGAATGTCGGAAATTAGTCATCTCTCTAACTACCACAAGAGAAAGGAACGAGGATAATACTGTAGTAGTATTTGGTTTCAGAGAAATATGCAGTCTGAAATCGCCATTTCTGAAATTACTCATCTTTGCAGAAGAGAAAAGAGAGAGGGAGAGAAGCCTAGGCTGCTGAGTACCTTGGGTGGTGGCGGTCGGTAGAGTTGAAGATGGGGAGGAGCCGGCGGCGGTCGGTGGTGGCAGGAGGTCGGAGGGGAGGAGACTGCGGCGGGCGGCGGGGAAGTTCGGCGACGAACCCGGGGAGGGAAGGGGTGTGACGCCGGCTGCGGCGACGCGTGGGATCTAGGCGGCGGCGATGGAGGCAGCCCAAGATTCGAGGACCCTTTTCCAGCGAGTGCAGTTGACCAGCAGAGCTGTATCATTTCATTTCATCTGATTGTGAATTTGACTAGACTATATAGCAATTCAAAGCATGGTTAATAATACAGCCAACGGTCGATTATAAAGAGTTATCATGTTATCTATTTCCAACCTCATAGCCGTCATGTACAATAATAAAATTTAAATACTTATTAGTAGTTGATCCATCTTACAATCTCACAAAGCGTTTTGGGGCTTATGTTGCAGCCGGCTACTAATCAAGAGTCTGCTTCTTTTCCTTTTCTTTTAACTAAAAAAAGATAGTATAATATTCTAGTGCTTATAGCATGCTTGTGTCATTTTATTGTACTTGGTCTTAGGGCATCTCCCACATCGAGTCGCCCGCAACCATTTGACTATGACTGTTTTGCCATCATCGATCCATCAACCGATCCAGACGTGTTTTTCTAGACAATCTAGCGAGGGGGTCTGGGTGTATAAATTGCTGCCACGTACACCTTTGACTAATCTGGCCCACCAAAAAACTCTCTTCCACGCCTGCACGTTTTCCCGGCCGAAGTCAGCTGCTCGTATTCATGTCGGCCCACATCAGACGCGACACTGAAGTCGGCATTGAAGTGGCTTGCCGCCCGTTGCTCGTTCATTGCGCATACCTTCTCTCTGCGTTGAAACAACATCAGTCTACCCACCTACCTTCATTAAATCTGCGCATGTGCCAAGGAACATACTCCAGCACAATGAGTTCCAGGAAGGTCACCGCCATGACGTCTTCAGGTTACACAGCCAGTGCAGTTTCTCAACTAAGCCGTATCATTTTAGTTCAGGCCTGCCGTGCAAAACTTACTTTTGAACAGGTTTCCCGCAAATATGATTGACATTGTGAATATTACTAGACTTAGTAGACTATATATAGCAGACAACGAAAATGCTGAATGGAGGTCGGTCTCCATGGAGGCTGAATTTAAGATGACCAAGATTGTATGTTTCAGATTTTTTTAAATACACATATACTTATAGACATTAATGTACAAGTGTGTAAATTTTCAAGATAAAATATGTTAAAATGAGTGTTGCAAAAAAATTATGCGCCTTTTTATTATATGCACCATTCATCCTTATAATCCATGATTTTGTTTTTATTTGTACAGCTCGCATTTCAAGGTATTTCACCCAAAAGTAATACACACATACACATTATATCCTTGTACACATACTTGTACAATTTTTTTTGAAACTGATAAGTTTGAATTTTATTATTTTTCAGAAAATTCGGCCTCCATGGAGGCCAAGGTCCAAAACGCCCTACTCTTCTTACAAATATATTGTCACATGTGGTACGCTTAGCATACAACATTTGGCTAGAAAACACTGGCCATGCACAAAGTTTGGATGCCATTTCTTTGATCCGTGATTTCACATTTCATTGCAGGCCTCGCACAAAGTGCTATGGATGTCTGTTTTTTTCTTCTTCTTTTTCATTTCCTGTTTTGGCTTGGAAGGATCCATTACTTTGCATATATTATGTGGGTGTGATGAGGACGGTCTTGAATTCCTGTTTTGCTTCTTCCGTACCTTCTATAACTAAGTGCATTCTTTTTCTTATTGGTACACAATGCTTAATTAATCAGTATTTATTTTACAGGTCGTGTACAGCTAATTAGTTAATCGACATCTTGTTCAACGATGTAACAAGATGTTCAACATTCTTCAGTCGAATAATATTAACTAGTGTTGTTCTCACCAAGCCAGCTCGCCCCCAAAGCAATTCCGTGCATTTGTTTAACAAAAGATTAGAACTAATCTTCCGTTCGCCCTCTCACGGCACGCAGCAATCACTGCCCCAGAATCAAATTAAGCAGTTCACTGCACACCAACCATCTCATGTCATATCTATATATAATCCTCATTACACCCACATGTATCATCACACAAACAAGATCCAGCACAACTTTCTCCATCAATCTTCCACCCCTACCAGCCATGGCTAGTTATTACTGGGTAGTTCTCGTTTTGGCGTGCACCTGCGCGCTCAGTGGCGCACTGGCGGCCCGCGACCTCGCCGACGATGCGTCCATGGCCGCGAGGCACGAGCAGTGGATGGGCAAGTATGGCCGCGTGTACGGTGACGCCGCCGAGAAAGCAAGGCGGCTGGAGGCTTTCAAGGCCAACGTTGCTTTCAACGAGTCCACGAACGCCGGGAACAGCAAGTTTTGGCTGGAGGCCAACCAGTTTGCCGATATCACCGAGGACGAGTTCAGGGCTACCCACACCGGATACAAGCCAGTTGCTGTGACTAACAAGGGCCGGAGCACCGGGTTCAGGTACGCGAACGCAAGCCTCGACGACCTCCCGGCCTCCGTCGACTGGAGGACCAATGGCGCCGTCACTCCCATCAAAGACCAAGGCCAATGCGGTAAGCAACACGGACCCAATACATTGCGTACGTGATGAAACAATGGACTGGAGTATGCTGACTCGTTTGTGACATTTTACGGTGTTGCTGGGCGTTCTCCACGGTGGCCTCCATGGAGGGCATCGTGAAGCTGAGCACGGGCAAGCTGGTCTCCCTCTCGGAGCAGGAGCTGGTGGACTGCGACGACACAGACAAGGGCTGCAAGGGCGGGCTCATGGACAACGCCTTCGAGTTCGTCGTCAAAAACAGCGGCCTCGCCACCGAGGCCGACTACCCCTACACCGGTGCAGACGGCAGCACCTGCGACTCCAGCACGGCCGCGGCGACCATCACGGGGCATGAGGATGTGCCGGCCAACGACGAGGCGTCGCTACTTAGGCGGTGGCGGCGCAGCCTGTGTCCCTGGCCGTCGACGGCGGGGACAACCTCTTCCGGTTCTACAAGGGCGGCGTGCTCTCTGGCGCGTGCGGCACGCAGCTCGACCACGGCATCGCGGCCGTCGGGTACGGCGTGGCCGGGGACGGGACCAAGTTCTGGGTGATGAAGAACTCGTGGGGTGCGGGGTGGGGCGAGGACGACTTTATCAGGATGGAGAGGGACGTCGCCGACAAGCAGGGCCTCTGCGGGCTCGCCATGCTGCCCTTCCTACCCCACGGCGTAGCCAGCTGCTTCATTCCTATCCTACTAGCTTGTAAATCGATCCACCTTTGAAGCGTTTGTGGTGTATATATATGGATGCAATAATGCTAAACATAAGGAGTTACACACAATTACACACCGACTAGAATTTTTTTCCATATACTAACCAATCACAAACTTGCCCCCCCTTTCTGATTTTCAGGGAGGTGGGCCGCCTCCCCATCTATTGACCAATCAAATTAACCCTCTTTGTAAAAGCTTGTAACTCGTTTGTACGTGTAGCATTACTCATATGAATGTGTACAACCTGCATTATTCTTCTACCACCCTTTTCGAAAAATGATTCTTCAATCAGAAATCTACTATTCACACACCTCTGGTCCTC